TCTGCTCACTAAAGTATATAGCAAATATATTTTGGACTAATCACAGAGGTCTTTAAAGTCTTCCAAAAATGTAAAATAACTTCTTTAGGGGTTCGGTTCTGACTGCAGTGTGCCAAAAGCATGCAATTTTAATCCACTTCATAATTCTATAGAATATGACAATGTTTTTGACCATCTTTTGTTTTGCACATGTATAATGTGCCTTGTAACTGCGACTTTCCTTCCCTCCATTGATTATGGTGACATTATTTACATGAACAGTCCTACAAGCACCCTGCAGACGTTGGACTCTGTCTATCACGGTGCATTGAGATTCATAACTGGCTGTAACTACCGTACCCATCACTGCACCCTGTATTCACTGCAACTGGACATCATTAACTTCATGTAGACTCTCCCACTGGTACATGTTCATTAAATCACCCTTTGGTCTGCTGCCTTCATGCATCTCCTACATGTCTCTGCGTAAGTGCAGCTACAGTGTGCGCTCTCAGGACATCATTACCTGCAGTGTTCACTCAGTGAGAGCTGAACTTGGCAAAAGGGTCTTCTCCTACTCCGCTCCTGTTTCCTGGAATATCTTGCAAAAAAGATTTGAAGCTCTTGACCTTGACCTCTCTTTTAAGTGGCTTCAAACATTTAAGTTCCTGGGGGAAAAAAAACCCAACAATGCAGACATGTTCCTGTTTTTAGTTTTCTACATTGCCTTATAATCTAGCTGGGTTTTTTTTTCTTGCTACTTTTTCCTTTTGACTGTCCGTTTGGTTGCTATTTTGTTTTGATTTGTAAAAAAAAATTGTATGGCTCCTGTGACTGTCCACTGTTGTCATCACTCTTTGTTGAAATCAGGTCTCTCTTGTAAATGAGTCCCTGAGGCTCATTGGGATTAACCTTGTATAAATAAAGGTTGAATGAATAAATGGTAATTAGCAAAATAGCTCATGAACCACAAGGCAACTTTCTCAATGTAATAGTTGGATGACATCTACAACTGATTACCAAATACAGTGCTAAAATTTGATGTGGTAGTAGCTGAGAGTCATTCAAAACATAAATCTTGTGATATTGCATGAGAGTGCCCAAAACATTATTATTTCAGGATTCATCCAAGCATTTACCACTTTTAGGTGATCCTAGTTTAAAACCTTTGTATGAACGATTTTTCGGTAAATGCTAAAGTTTTAATTTTTATATGAATTATCTTTTTGAAAATGCATCAGGTGCATATAAGGTGGAGACGTTAATTTGGTGCATACAGATGGATTTATTTAATTTTTTTTTTTTGTAAATTTTTTTTATTACCAAAACGGTGACACAATGCCTTAAAGCTACACTTCTTGCAATATCATACATTAAGATGCTGCTATTATTTGCTCTTTCCCCCATGTGTTTGTCCAATGCAGACATGTTCCTGTTTATAGGTTTTTTTTTTTTTTTTTTGCTACTTTTCCTTTTGACTGTCCTTTTTGTTCCTATTTTGTTTTGATTTGTAAAAAAACAAAAACAAAAAAAAATTAATGTGTATGCCTCTTTTGTGACTGTCTATTGTTGTCGTTGTTGTCCACTGTTGTCATCACTCTTTGTTAAAGAAATCAGGTCTCTCTTGTAAACGAGTCCCCGCGGCTCAATGGGATTAACCTGTATAAATAAAGATTGAATGAATGGATGAATTCAGTACTACGGCCTGAAAGACACAAACACAAGGACTCGGTGTCTGTCTCCCTCCCTGTCTCCCGCTCCCCCTCCTGTTCTGTGATGTGTTCTGGCCAGACAGTATGGCTCCTGGGCGTCAGTGGCATGATCATTGAAACCGAGGCCAGAAAGGACATTCCTCATTGTTGGGGAGTCTAGAAATGTGCCTGGCCATCTTGGCCTGCTCTGTGCAAAAGTGTTTTGCTTCACATTCAAAGAAAAACAATGTAACCCTGCAGAAAACTCCCTCTTTATTATGAAAATCCACCTTTGATGCTTGAGTCATTAAATGTGTAGCTCATTCTCATTTTGTCAGGCCAGCTTATCACCTCAGTGACAAAACCCCAAGATCTCTGTGCCACCATGCAGCTGTTTTGGCTGAACTGTTGCCTAACACAATCTCTCATCTTGTCTCTTGTCAGATGATTGAAACTTGACCCGGATTTCTGGCGGCATGAGGAATAACCATCCCTGCAGGAGGCTCTGAATTCAAAGATCTCTCCTGTGCCAACACAGAGCAAGGATTAAAGGATTGCACTGCACACGGGCTGCTCGGAAGTTCCAGCAGAATAAAAAAGAAAAGGAAAAACCAGCCTCTGTTTACACATCAAGCCACCTATTTGATATTTCTCTCCTTTTTTTATTCGTTGTCCTGGCTGCTCATTCATTGCCTCCTCACTCTTGTCTTCATCGGAGCTATTATCCCACAGACGGAACCTGTCGGCTCATCTTGGTACCCATTTATCCACCTCAAAATGAACTCTTCCTCCTCCCTTACATCCTTGTTCTCCTTCACCAGCCCGGCAGTGAAGCGTCTGCTCGGCTGGAAGCAAGGGGACGAGGAGGAGAAGTGGGCGGAGAAGGCTGTGGACTCTCTGGTGAAGAAACTGAAGAAGAAGAAGGGAGCGATGGAGGAGCTGGAGAGGGCCCTCAGCTGTCCTGGGCAGCCCAGTGAGTATCACAGTTTTACACCGACCTTTGGCCTTTTGAAATGCATAATAATTAGGGATGTGCAATATTATCAGCATATTAGCATATGACGATATTAGCGATAAAGTTAAATATCGGCCATTCCATCAAAATAACTCACCGATATAAAAGGTGCTGCATTGCATTTTTTAATCTGTATTATATATTTATATAGTGTTGTATCATTTTCAACCCCCTTTTTTGCATCTGCATTTGGTAGCAAGCCACATTGAAAAAGACCATGCAGAATAATGCAGTATTTTAATTACACAGCAGTGAAAGCTATGTAGTTTCTGTAAGTAGATTTAGGGAACTATATTGATATTGGTAATCGGCCAAATAAGTTTTAACATATCAGATATCGGCCAAAATTCCAATATTGTGCAATCCTACTAATAATAATGCTTGAACTAGTCGTAGCAAGAACTTTACTAGTTCACACTGAAGGAGTGAGCGTAATATTTTTTGTCATTTGTCTCATTGGTCATGGATGGACTAGAATTTTTTCCAAGGAGAATAAAAACTATTTCCACCTTTCATTCAATTTAGAAACACTAAAAGCCGCATGTAGCCGCTCGTACTATATAAGTCTTTTACGATGTTGCGTTGATTCTGTTTGAGCTGTTGAAGGAAAAGGTGCCAAACGAGTGCACAGATTGTCCCAACGTGGGCCAGGGGTTATAATAACAAGAAGAAAAAAGATGCAGAAAAGCAGCTGAAATATCTATTGAAGACGACCGCACATCACAACGACCCAATAATGATACTTGTTTAAGTCGGTAAGATTAGTCCCGTCAGCATGGATGACTGGACTCGGTGAAAGCACATGTTGTGCAGTAATCCAAACAAAAGCTACGAAAACCAAACGCCGTTCGGTGATTTAGGAGAAAAGAGGGAGTGCCACTCAGAATGCAGGAGCTTTGATAAGGGGAGTGATACAGAACAGACGCCATCTGCTGGCAACTCCCACCAACCTCATCTTGGTCTATGGTGGTCCTGATGAGACCGCTTTGATGGAGGACACGGGGTGGACAGAAGAATCAGTGACACCGGGTTCTGTCACACAGGACACTTTTATTGAAGGGTCAGAGTGAGTAAACCACCAGCTGAACTTAACCTGTAGACAACTGTGTTTAGAAGGTTTGACATGAGACAGCAGATGTTCTTTCTGCTACAAGGTCAGTTCTCTTTGTCGGTACGGGCTTTATATGCACCGACTGCATGGGCTGTGACTTTATTTACTTTGACTTTTGCTATTGGGTTACATGATTGACAGGAGACCGTTCTCTTGTTCATTTTCAGGGAGGAAGATGATGGACTGGAAAGTGTTAGTTACAGTTAAAATAAATTTTTGTTATTAGTGAGCTATTTGATTTATGAAAATTGTATGTGAAGAAAAAAATATACATTGGGAAAAAACACAACTATAAGTTACTGTAGTTATATAGATATGCACTTTTAAGGAGGGGAGATGTAATGTATGGCAAATACAGAAGTGCGGTCATTTTAAGAGATGAGTGCGCAAAGGATTCTGGGTACTACTGTACTATCGTTCGAGCGTAAGTGTAAAATAAAGACGCTTGAGTACGAGAAGCTGCATCATCCTTTGTGTCACATTAGTAAAGTGTGGACATTACAGTGTTGTTCTAATTCCAGGTGTTCCCAACCAGTTTGGCCACTGCACTCTAATGGTTTCTGTTCCTGCAAAAGCTCAAACAGACTTTATCAGCAGGTCTGTCACACTATGACTTACTAACAACACAATAAAACACTGATTTTTATATCGTCTTCACCTCCAGCAGTGACAACAGTAGCATGCTCCCTACACACAGTGTTATACAGTACATAATTTATCATTCAGTCTGCTGCTAATAAACATATTTTTATTTAGAGTTGTAGTTTTAATGTCACAGGTAAAATATTTTTACACTGCTCACTGTAATGCCACTTTAATAGGTGATATGTGACTTATCTGTGCTGCTGATTATTTATGCTGCTGATTATCTCATGCTGCTGTATTATGCTCACCATAGATCATGTTCGGGCTGCTGTTGTTACGCCATATTGTTTTACATTGTTAGCAGTTAGTGTATATCTTAGATCCTTATTTACTGTTTCTTTTTATACTTTATATTTTTCTATTTTTGGGTGTAACTGGGACCCTGCGTACATAATTTCGTCCCGCCTCATGTACCACATGTGATGCAAATGACATTAAAGTTGACTTGAAGTTGAACTTACATTCTTCCATAGTAACTTTATTGATATCTACCACTATGAGTTTCGATAAAGGATGGCGTTTGGCTTAAGGAGGAGCAGTAAGTCTTTCTTCCTGTGTTACCTGAAAACCTGCAAACAGCACGATACAACTAAATCTGTATTGATGGGCACGCTTTATCATGTTAACCCTCGAGGTAAGTGCGTGACGATTCCTCGCTCTCTGGATGGGAGGCTGCAGGTGTCCCACAGGAAGGGTCTGCCTCATGTGATCTACTGCCGAGTGTGGCGCTGGCCCGACCTGCAGTCTCACCACGAGCTGAAGGCCCTCGAGTGCTGCGAATTCCCTTTCGGCTCCAAACAGAAAGACATCTGCATCAATCCGTACCACTACAGACGTGTGGAGACTCCAGGTGCGCACGTTACTGGAGAACATCTGGATTTCTCTTTGTTTTCATCTCCTCCCTCTTTAACTTTTTATTTATTTATTTTAGTGCTTCCACCAGTTCTGGTCCCACGTCACAGCGAGTTCAACCCACAACACAGTTTGCTGGCAAAGTTTAGGAATGCCTCCCTGAACAACGAACCGCTGATGCCCCAAAACGCCACCTACCCAGACTCCTTCCCTCCTCTGCCCTGCTCCTCCTTCTCCTCCTCCTCTCCTGCTTCATCCCTCACTCAGTCCCCCACGTCACAGAGCTACCCAAACTCGCCCAGCAGCTCTACACAACCTGGCAGTCCATATCACATCACAGGTAGAACATAAAAGCACAAACTTGAAGATGCTAACTGCAGTTGTGAAGGGGTTCATTTTCCCCACGCTCTGTTTCCCAGGCGAGACTCCTCCACCTCCCTACAGCATGATGGAGACAAACTCTCAAGAAGATGTGAAGCCAAGCAACTCCAGTGAAACTATTAAACTCACATTTTCCGCTCCGCACAGAGGTAAATTAACTTGAATGCACAGAAAATTTAAATATGTTTGGACATTGTTTGTGGGGGTCCTCAGGGGTCAGTTCTGAGTCCCAAGTTGTTTATGTAAATGATCTACCGGATATGTATTGTACCTGAGATAATGAAAAGTATTCTATTTGCCGATGATGCAAACATTTTTTTTTTGTGTTGGAGATGACATGGAACAACTGTTAAAGGATGTAACTGATGAATTGAAGAAACTTAAACTGTGTTTTGATGAAAATAAGCTGTCCTTGAACCTAAACAGAACTAAACTAATGTTATTTGGGAACTATCAATCACACACAGAAATTCAAATACAAATAGATGGGGTGAATATTGAAAGAGTTCATGAAAACAAATTTCTAGGTGTCATTATTGATGATAAACTCAACTGGAAACCATACATCAGATATGTTCAAAGTCTCAAGAAATATCACCCTCTTAAACAAAGTCAAGTTGGTCACGGAACAAAAAGCTTTAAATGCACTCTACTGTTCACTAATCTTACCTTATTTGAGTTATTGTGCAGAAATTTGTGGCAAAAATTACAAAACTACACTACAGGCATTAACAATACTATACAAAAAGAGCAATAAGGATACCGTAATCCATAAGGTGGGATATTTAGAAAGCACTAATACACTATTTGTAAAATCTACATTATTGAAGTTTATTGACAGTGGAACTACAGACAGCTCTAATTCTTTACAAAGCCAAAAATAAACAATTACCGGAAAACATTCAAAACCTGTTTAAGACTAAGGAGCAAATTTAAAAGTTAAGGTGGAATCACAGTTTAAAATATGCAAATTCAGAACTACTAGAAAACACTTGTGTGTATTAGTAAGTGGCGTCAAACTGTGGATTAATTTGAAAATTGAACTTAAACAATGTCCAAACATAAAACTGTTCAAATTATCATATTAACATGATTATTACTGGATATAATATATATATATATATATATATATATATTGTTTAATTATTTTTGTGTTTTTGTTATTGATGCTAGTTTTTTTTTTTGATGAAGTAAAGAAATGGAAATTGTTTATCTACTGTAGTTAACTTAAATATATTGATGGGTTAAATATGGGTTTAGTTGTTATATGTATGGATTATACATGAAATAAATGTAAGATTATGTAATTGGTTGAGTGTGAATTTTGATAATTTTATACTTCTACCCACTCCCTTAAATACGTAAAACAAAAAGTTTTAACATTATGCTTCATGCTGTATTTCATTATATTTTTTTACATATTCAAAAAATAATAAACTACCGGTAAATATCTCCATGTAATCCATCACTCTCACCTCTGCCGTCAGACTTGAGGCCTGTTTGTTACGAGGAACCGGAGTACTGGTGCTCCATAGCTTACTATGAGCTCAACAACCGAGTGGGGGAAACCTTCCACGCCTCGTCCCGTAGTGTCTTGGTAGATGGCTTCACAGACCCCTCCAACAACAAGAACCGATTCTGCCTTGGGCTGCTTTCCAACGTCAACCGCAACTCCACCATCGAGCACACGCGCAGGCACATAGGCAAAGGTAGGCTGCATAGAGCTCACAAGGCTAGCTCATACTAAAATACAGGCTTTAACATCTTATTGGACTTTATATAAACTCAATCAAGATGTTTTCCCTTTTGTTTTCAGGGTTACACCTGTACTATGTGGGCGGCGAGGTGTATGCAGAATGTCTGAGTGACAGCAGCATCTTTGTCCAAAGCCGCAACTGTAATTTCCAGCATGGCTTTCACACCACCACCGTGTGCAAGATCCCCAGCGGCTGCAGCCTGAAGATTTTCAACAACCAGCTGTTCGCTCAGCTTCTCGCCCAGTCCGTCAACCACGGCTTTGAGGTCGTCTATGAGCTCACGAAGATGTGCACCATTCGCATGAGCTTTGTTAAGGTGCCAAGCGTCGTTCTTTTTTGTCAAGACATGTGGGAAGTGTAGGAATAAACAGACAGAGTGATCATCTTTAAACCGTTGTAGCTGAGTGGAGTGGGTTCTTGTGTCCACTGAATTGTTTTGCGTTAAACATGATGTTAGAATGTCTGCCAAGGTCCCGATTTAGGCGGGACAGTGTCCAGATTTTGATGGATAGGAGTTGTTTCACAGGCTTCATGCAACAGCAGAAGTGAGGTATCCGTAATCATGTTGCCAGGTGAAAAATGTAGGATTATCGTACTAGAGACATAAAATTATCATATTTTGAGGGAAATTATCGTACACCCGTCATAACCAAAATAACAAATGTATTTATGCATTATAGTGGTGATGGGTCCGCTTTCAGACCAGCTCTGCTTCTTCTTCTTTTCTTTGTTTCTTTTCCTCACTCATGGCGCAGGCGCAGCGGACTATTCAGCCAATCATGGCCGTTGTTCTGAGGCAAACGCAAACACGTCACTCGTAGGTAACATTTAGAAAAGCACGCATCTGTTTGCGGACACAGATGCCTTCAGGGTTCACAAAAAAAATCAGACAGACAGTTGCGAGAGGCTGATGACAACTGATTACAACCACACATTCACGGAATGGTCAAATTATTGTATATTCAGCCTTTTTTGGGGATTATTGATCGTACAGAGGGCAAAATTGTCGTACAAATACGATAATTATCGTACACCTGGCAACACTGTCTGTAATAAGCCTGTGTTGGGTATACAGTACTGGTTATTTTTATCTTATTGCAGGGGTTCTATATATATATATATATATATATATATATATATAGTGATTTAAACCCTTCCCACACTCTTGCAATATTCTAAACAATGTTTACGCTCTAAAAGAGCACAGCACGTCATGATCTCCGCTCTCTGCCACGCCTACTTTTCTGCTGCAATCGCTGGCAGGTGGCAGAGAGTGGAGATCATGACGTGCTGCAGGAGGGAGTTTCTCCTTGCACCTGTGGGCTAGAGTTGCATTCGAGCCTAAGAAATCTGACCCGGCTCGGCCTGAACCCGTATCATTTTTTGCTCGAGCTCGACCCGAAACTGACCAATTGTGACTATAGGCCCGAACCCGAAAAAAAACAAACATTTTTTTAATCAAGTTTTTACTGCTTTTGTACGCGAATCAGTTTGACATGATTTAAAAAATGTATTTCAAAGAAAGGAAGATATAAAGAGTTCTTGTTTTTTTTTAACAAGAGTCAGCAGGTTATTATAGTTATTATAATATTTTAGTTATTTACGGTTGTCGGCCGCGTGCGTCCGTTGACGCAGTGGCTGAGCCCAGTTAAGCTTCAGGTGGGTTGCTGCGCCAGTGATCATCTGTACTTATTTTTTACCTGTTTCAACTGGCCGGTCAGCGCGTGGTCAAACGGACGCGTGTGACTGGTGATCCAAATTGGATCGTCAGCTGCGCGCGTCCACTGATGCAATCCAACTCCCGACCCGTCCCACCCATCCAGAACATTGTTTTGCCCGGCTCAAATTTTCGGGTCAGGCCCGAGTTAGAAATGACAGCTCTACTGTGAGCTGCACACAGGTGCAGCAGGTGCTAAATCGTTTAAAATAATTTATTCTAAATAAACAATTCATGCAGCTCATCCGTCTATCAGCCAATTGTGTGTCATGTCAAATCTTAACTTTGAAAAACCGTGAACGAGCGAGTCCACGAAAGTCAAACCGCGAAGTAGTGATGGACTACTGCATAGCGCAATTCATAAGCTTTCGGAAACCATTGGAATTTTTCTGATAGTACAAACTTTCGCAAAGTGTTGCGGTAATTACTTGTAAAGGGAAAAAAAAATATGGTAATAACACGCTCGGAATAACTTGTTGAAGTTCGGTTACGTTCATTCATTGATTCAGCGATCAACCGTCTTTTATTAGGTTGAAAATCTTTCCTTATTACCGGTAGATTAAATGTTGCTTGGATTGTTTGTGTGTGTGCTTGTTTGTGGTGGTGGGTAATTTAAATCTCCAGTAAAAATATATAATTTAATATTTAGTTGCTGTGGACATGCTTACTGGATAAATGGTGGACTCCTGATATGTAGACACAGATGTGGCGTTTGTCAGGAACAGGAAGCTTATACTTGTTCTTTTTTACCTACCTGGTAGGTTTCTCAGGGCAGCCTGCTTTGCTACTACATAAGGTTATACGGTGCAAAGGATACTTTGTGATGTATACACGTGTAGGCGTCCCTCACTGCCATCAGCAAATGATGGCAGGCATGCGTTAAATGTTCAGATTTGAATGTTTTAATCTTTTGAAATGGGTTCTGTGGAAAGGGTATGAAATTGAATATTTACCTCTTCTAGACAATTCTTTGAACAACCTCGGTTTGGAGAAATAGTTTAATTCTGACCAGATTGACAAGCTAATAATAATAATTCATCTCATTGTTACTCACTACCTGTGCAATAACCTGTCAGACAACCTTTGCAGTTTTATCCAAAAAAGTTCAATCTGGTCCTCTGGACATTCAAAAAAACAAAAAACAAAACAAAGCAAAAAAATCTAGAAACGTTTCGTCTCTCATCCAAGAGACTTCCTCAGTCTGAGGTGCTGTATTCAGCTCAGTCTCTTAAATAGCACCTTCTCAGAGTGAATCAACCAGTTTTGCTGCTGACAACCAAAACCAGCTGATCACATGCTCAAGAAGGACCATCAGCCTAACAATGGATCATTAGCACACTGATGGCTGTTTACTGTTCACAGAGGGCTGAGTGATACTAGCAATCACAGTAAGTAAGAGGGGGACAGTTGAACCCGGAGGCCTCCACCCCTGTTTAATGATGGACGGTTTCTTTTCACAAAGATGGCCTCCTTTACTCCTCTCTCAAACCATCGTTCCTCTCTGTCCAGGATGTGAACATCTTCATCCTTGAAAGAGTGACCGCTGGCCTGGAGATGAGTGTAGACCGCAGAATCCTGGCCTGATGATGTTGATCTTCTGTGCTGGGCCATCCTTTTGGCCAGTGGCTGTTTTGTTTCCCCGATGTAAGACTGATCACAGCCCTCCTGACACTGAACAGCATACACAACATTGCTCTGTTTGTGCCGGGGGACTGGATCTTTGGGATGAACCAGTCTTTGCCGTAATGTATTTTGGGGTTTAAAAGCCACTGGGACGTTATGTTTAGAAAATAAACGTCTCAGTTTCTCTGATAATCCCTCAACATATGGAATGACCACTGGTCTGGGTCTGGGTTCCTCCTTTTCACCTGATGGCTGACTGGAGTCCTGTTTGGGTTTCTTCTCTGCTTTCAGTAAGGCCCAGTTAGGATATCCAGAGGACCAGATTTAACTTTTTTGGATTTTTCTACCTGGATTATTGAGCATGCATCAGGATACTTTGCAGTTTTAGTTAAGTGCAATACTGTATACAGTACGTCGCTTCGGTGTATAAGTCGCAGGGCATGTAAATTATGTGAAAGAAAATGCAACTTATAGGGCGAAAAATATGGTATTCCTACTTGCACTCTTATATTCAACCATGTTGTTTACTATATTTCTTATGGACCTTGTATCATTTTCACTTTTTGGTACTTTATTTTGTACCCTTGTTGCATGCTTTAGTATTTCTTTTTTTTGAGCGAGTCAGATCAGTTCTTCTCATCCTGAACATTTCATTGCATTGTTGACCTTGTGTTAACCGGCATGACAAAAAAAACCCCATAATAGTTTGATTGGGACAAAGTGGATTGTTGATTTCCAATCAGAAAAAGCTTAAATAATTTCAGGCTTATGCTGTTTTATAAATCTTTCCTTTGCCAACAGTTTTGCAATGCAGTTATTCCAGCAGAAGTATATTGTACCAGAAGTACTGTACTAAGTTAGCTGCTTTTATGGTGTTGGCAAATATGTACAATTGATACCAGAAGCGTTTTTAAAATATATTTAGAGACTAGATGTGTTTTAAAGCACCAGCAATCCACTTTGGTCTTGACCACACTCTAATCATTAGCTTGTTATACTTCAGTGAGAATTAAACTTTCCTCCAGACAAGTTTTCCAAAAAGTCATATACAGTATTAACCTTTCCACAGAATCCACGTTTAAAAGATCAGAACTGTTACTTTAAATTGCTGTCAAGTAGTGTATTTACCATTCAGTGACATTCCACCTGCTGAAAATTGTTCTGTTGCCATATCTCAGGGTTGGGGTGCGGAATACCATCGTCAAGATGTGACCAGTACCCCCTGCTGGATCGAAGTGCACCTGCATGGCCCCCTACAGTGGCTGGACAAGGTGCTCACTCAAATGGGTTCCCCACACAACCCCATCTCTTCAGTATCATAGCGAGAGCGTTGTCTTGTCTGCACACAGGTAGTCGTAGATTCTGTTTCGCTGAGTTTTCTGTCCAGGGTTTGTCCCGTGTCGTTTCAAGCTTTAAATGTGTCCTTTATTTTCAGTATGATGAAGAATTACTGTTTCCACTGGGACAAATGATCTGCACAGGATAAAAAAAATGGGATATATTTGGAGGTACTTGTTGTATATTATAGTGGTATGTGTTGCATTTCCATGTCCTCACCAATGGTTGACTGAATGTACAAGTTGATTTTTATATGATCATTTGAAGTTGCTCATTCTTTATTAAGTGTTTTGTTTTTCCAAGATTTGAATTGTTAAAACCTTAAGCTTTTTTTCTCACGTTAAAGAATAAAGCTTAGCCCATACTATAAACACGGTGTGGAAGATTTTTCAGTGTTATGTTTTTTTTATTTTATGCTTTGTTGACAATAACCTCTACAGAAGAGAAACAAAGTGTGGAGCACTTTTGTTGTAAAGTTTTAAGAAAAGACGAAACATTTTCTCATAAAACAAGACTTCAAAGTTTTACTGTTGGTTGTCACAAATAAGAAATATTCAAAGCATTTTTGTAGCTTTCGTTACAAAATGCTTTGCAAAGAAGTCCAATAGTTTTATCACAAATGCAACAATAAAATGTTTCATAAATATAAAATCCTCAAAATCAGATTGGAAACACTAAAAACAACACATATAAGTTATTATAACAAGATAAAAATAAATAAAAAAATCACAACGCTGCAATATCTCAACTTTAGGCAAATGTCAATCCAGGTAAACTGAAGTGAACGGTTGAGTCATACTCAGAAATATGAATTTCCCTAACAGTTTATGAGCGGTGCACACAGGTTCTATACATTTATGGATTGCCTTTTTTTCCCCTCAAAGTTTTTCCAATGCAAAACATATTTTACTGACACTGAGCGTTAACAGCCCTGGAACTGCTGCTGCGAATGGCTGCGGCTTTGTGACGCCAGGAGCTGCTGCTGCTGCTGCAGAAACCCAATTACCTCCGGACTCCTGAGCAGCGACTGGAGGAGACAGATGCACATATTAACAAAAAACTTCTAAGTGATGTAACAATTTACTTGCAACTACATATACAGTAAAAACTCTTGAGAGTTCGTAAGAGCAAGTCTTCAAAACTCTTAACATTTTGTCTAACAAAGAATCAACACGGATGAATCAAGTTTCATTTTGAGCACATGACTATTTCAAACAGTGGAGGAGTGGTGGCGCAGAGGTTAGAGAAGGTGAGTCTGATCAGAAGATCGCTGGTTCAACTCCCCGTACCGACGACATAAAAATGTGGGTGGGAAATGTGAAGCACCTACACCTGCCTCCACCCTAACTTGCTACACACTGGGCCCTTGAGCAAGGACATTAAAGATGGCAGCTCTCTGCTCCACACAGAGAGCTCTGGTTTGTCAGGAAGTTGCATCTGTCGTGAAAATAATTGTCTTTGTGCGGCATAGTTCACTGTGGCGACTCGTGAAGAAGAAGGGAGCATCCTCAAGAATAAAATCAAAATAAAAAAACTATTTCAAAGATACAGTCTGGTCATCTGGACAGTTTCTTTTTCTTTCTTTTTTTTTTGAGAGAGAGGTTTTGTTTTTGGGAGAAGTCAACAGGGGAGAGGACAGCCCTCAGAAACCATCTTATCACCAGCAAACTGGTTGGTCCACTGCAGGAATGTACTGCTCAGCGAGGAAAACAGTTTGTTTGTGACTCTTCAGACTGATGAAGCCCTTCGGATGGAGGGCGAAAAGTCTCTCAACAAAAAAAAAAAAAACTGTCCAGATGACCAGACTCTTCATTGAGCACGGACCTTGATATTTCAAAGATTACTATACAGTGAAATTAAAACAAAAAAGCCATAGAAACTAAGATATTTGAGTAAATATTGATAACGTTAAGATCCTGGATTTCTTTTTTTCGGCTGCTCCCTTCTTCAAGGGTCACCACAGTGAACTAAGTTGCACAAAGACTTGTCAATTGTTTTTATACTAGATGTCCTTCCTGACGCAACCACAGACCACCTAGCTACCACAGCCCTCTGTGTGGAGCAGAGAGCTGCATCTAGGGCGCCTGTTGGTGGGGGTTAAGGGCATTACTCAAGGGCCCAGAGTGGAGCAAATGAGGGTGGAGGCAGAAGTGGGTGTTTCACCTATCCCACCCACATTTTGATGTTTTCAGACGGGAGGTCGAACTGGCGACCTTCTAATCACAGGCTCACCTTCTCCAACCTCTGAACCACCACTCCCCCCAGTGTTAAGATCCTGGATAAAGGAGCAAAATATAAAAAGAATACCATCTATGGCACATTATACACTCATCAACAAACTATATAAACTATATTATACAGCAATACTGTACAGAAGAACTTGTATAGGTACTTGTATCTTGATATGTGACCTTGAAGCTGGGGTGATGGAAAGTGTACGTGACGCTCCGTATAGTGTTGATGCATGTGTCATTAAATTATCTTGAGTGGATCAGAAGTTGTGGATGGGAAGAGAGAGTTTATGGACCGACAGACTATACCATAATACGTCCTGCCTTCGATGGGGGTATAAAAACACAGATACCGTCTTCCAAATAGAAAGAATGATCCTAATCCTAACTTGATTGAACTTCTCTTCTCAATGGTAAAAGCTACCACCCTATCACCTGTATCATGACACGAGGCAGGCAAGCCAACAACTCACCAGTCTTTTCTGGTTGAGGACCTGCTCAATAAGGGAAGGTCTGGCAGGACGGTCCCCCACGGATCCCAGGCGCTGTTTGTTCACAGAAACTGGCCGCTCCTCAGAGTTTTCCTTAGAAGAAACAAAAAATATAATAAACAAGCTCGTGAGAGTTTTGTTTAAACTGAAGTACAGTTTTATCTGAGACAAAAAAAAGCAGGACCAGAAACATACAATTTTTACCAAAATGAGTAATGATGGCTTCTCATTAGATAACTTTACTAATTGGCTTTTATGTATGTGAATGTTTCTGTGAAGTGCCCTGAGACAACTTTGTTGTGATTTGGCGCTAAATAAATAAACTGAATTGAATTTTAAATGACTTCATAATTTAGTTACTGGAGAGCATTTTATTCAGTTGGTATGGATAAACGACTCTTTGCAGGCTTTTGTTAGTCATGTCCTACACTGCCCCCTGCTGGTCAAATGATGTAGGTGCAACAAAAGTTGAAGCCAACAAATGATGGATTCAAAGGACAAAGTTTGGTCTTACATCTAGTTTCCCGCTGGACATGGCCTGGTCACTCTTCTTCTTCTTGTATTTGTCTTTATACATCTTGTTGCGGTGTTTCTTGCACATCCACGGCTTCCTCTGCTTGGCCACCTGCGTTGTGGTCTCCTTGCATCCCTCGTAGGTGCAGTGTTTGGGGGCGTTGTCGCCCTCCGAGGCCTCCTCGTCGTTCAGCTCCTCCGGGCTGGCCGCGCTGTCTCGGGGATCGGAGTGGTCCATGACGTCACTCTCCTCGTCCTGATCGTCCATCATGCTGGAGACGTTCTCCGCTTCGTGCGGCGTCACCACATTTCTGCTGTCGACCACTCCGCTTTTATTCACGTAGTACCTCTGTCCGTCCTTAGTGAGCAGAAGAGTGGAGTCTTTGTCCTTGTTTGCTGCGGACGACGGCGCGTCCTCTTCACTCATGTCTGACAGCTAGCAAGCTAACTATCCGTCCTTACCGTTAGCTCGTGCTCACAATCATATACATGTTGGCAAACCCTTTTCTGTAATAAAAAGTGCAACCTTTTTCCATAAAAATCTATATTTTATCGCTATTATTTTAAATAATAATTGTAAGTGGTTTGTAGTCAACAACAGTAATGAGTCCGTGTTCTTCTTCTACGTTTTTTAAATGGCAGATCGCAAACCGCTTCAAGGTGCGTACCGCCACCTACCGTCCATGAGTGTAACTTCATATCTTCAACATAATGCTGTTCTTCAATTTTGTGTTCTGTAGTTATTGTAAACAACGCTTTTCCTCCTTGTTCCCGAGATTCCTGGAAACAAGGACTCAATTTTTGCCCCCCCCCCCCCCCCCCCAGTCTTTTTCAGATAGTAAATGGACTGCACTTATATAGCTCTTTTATATCTTGTCGAGATCCTCAAAGTGCTTTACACACAATGTGTTCCCTCATTCACCCATTCATGCAGCACTCTACTAGATCTATACAAAGAATAATCAGAGCTTTATCACATTCATACACCGATGGGACACACATCGGAGGCAATGAGGGGGTCAGTGTCTTGCCCAGGGACACGTCGGCATGTGACTGCTGGTAAAATCGAACTCCCAACTCTTGCATTGGAGGACGACTGCTCTAACCACTCAGCCACAGCCGCCCTCGATGCATTTTCTTCTATTTGAGTTTTATGGCGGTTGGGGAAACAAACAGAAAGGATGCATTACTGCTAACTTTTTTATTTTTTCTGCTGCCTCCGTGGTTACCACAGCGAACTAACACACAGAAAGACTTGACAATTGTTTTTTTTTTTTTTATGCAGCAACCACACACCACAGCCCTCTGTGTGGAGCAGAGAGCTGCCATCTAGGGTGTCCTGGGGAGCAGATGGTGGGGTTAAGGGCCAAGGGTCCAGATTGGGGCGAATGAAGGTGGAGGCTTCACCTTTTCCACCCACTTTTTGATGATATCGTTCCCAGGGATCCAACAGGCGACCTTCTGATCAGGGGCTCGCCTTCTCCAACCTCATGCACCACCACTCCCACAATTATCACAAACTACTATACTCAAATAAAAATATTTTTACATAGAACATGAAGAAACAATTACCAAAGGTGTTTTAAGATGTGACTTGAAAACACTAAAAGCTGTAGAGAGTCCAGGTGAAGGGGCATATGGTTTCACAGTTTAGGAGCTACAATTGAAAAGACTTGACCACCTCTGTGGACCAGTCTGGACCTCAGGACAACCGGAAGCATTAGACCTGAGGAGCCTGGAAGGCAAATAAAGCTGCAGGGGGTCAGACCTGCTCATTCGGGACCTTCTAAGACAACAATAGTATGCATTTCTAAAAGACTGCAGCTAAAGCAAAATATTATTTTTAAAACTTTCAATTTAAAAAAGGAAGTTTTGAAATGGGTCTAAAACTTGACCAGACAGAGTCAAGGTTAGGTGCCTTTAGCAACAACTGAACATGTTTAAAGCAGGATGGATGCAAAACTGTCCAACTTTAAAAAACCGGTGAGCAGTATTAGTTGGGAAAACAACAGATGTTTGAGCGTTTAGCTTTGAAATAGACAGAAGAAACTTCTTCTGCAGTTTTGCATGGACTCAGGCATGTACATACTTTTACCAAACCAAATGTTTTAACATCAAGATTGCCTCATTAAAGTTTGTAGTTTTTTCACACATCATCTGTCCTGCTTATATCTTATAGGTTTAACATTAAAGTATAACTTTGCATGTCCCTTAGTTTTTTTAATTCTGCCGTTCTACACCCAAAACATTGTTATGATTACCGTTCATCTCAGTCCTCCCACTTGTGCTCCAAACACTTGACCTGTCAAGCACAGGAATTTCCACTTTACTCGCCATGATTGGGATTCATAAAAACACATCAAGTACTCTCCTAATCAAGTACTCTCCTGTAGACACAGCGTAGGACAGCCTTGGTGGGATAAAAGCCTTTATTTTACTGGAGGAAATTAACCAAATCTATAGGAAACAACTCAACAAGCAAAATACCGTGTTTTTCTGACTATTCGGTGCACCGGATTATAAGGTGCATTAAGCAAAACAAAACAGATAAGTCTAACTTTGTTCAACTCATTTACAATAACCACATAAAATCGGTTCGAGGTCAGTAAGCACAACCAGAATTAATACATAAGGCACACCTGATTATAAGGCTCACAGTTGATTTTTGAGACAATTAAAGGATTTTAAGTGCACCTTATAGTCTGAAAATTACGGTAATGCCCTTTAAAAAAGACACCAGGAGTTGTTTTTTCTTTAAACCTTTTTTTATTATTGTTTTTATTTCTACTGCTGGATTTAGACCATTGGTGAACAGAGGTACAAGTATCAATCTTTGTGGAACAGACTGGAATGAGATGAAGCACTTTGGTAAACCTTGTGCCGGAGAGTGTGGATTTCAACCGCACATCAAATGTATACTTCACCATCTGCGCCACATCGCAGAGTGTGTGCAGTGAGAGGAACTACAGAAACATTGACATGTGCAACAATTTCTGCTCTATGAATTAAAATAAAAAAAAAACTAAAGCAGCTTTGCATTTCTTTCTTTCCCCCCCCACTCATCTAGCTTCACATTAGTTACCGGAAATGACTTTAACGTCTGTGACATCACTGCCTGAACAGAAATCAAAGATCTTTTTTTATTAATTTAACTGTAAATTCAAGCAACAACATCAGGAAAAAAAAATGCTCATTTTCATTTCAACTTGATATCTCTGCATCATTTCTTTTACCAACTGTCACACGTTTTTATTTGTCCGACTTTCATAGATATACTACTAGTAAAGAAATATACTGTATTGTGAACTATCAAAATAAATAAAATAGTTATTTACATGAACATATAAACAGTACTTTATCACTAATACAGCTTGTTTGAATAAGAATAGGCTACTGTATGTCTGTCATGCTTTCATCTAAAGAAATGAAGCCATGAATGAGGTTGTACAGAGCTCAGACAAACCTTTCTCCATCCTTTAAGCCTGACTGCTTGTCACATGTGCTGCTGGTTTTCATCCTTCATTCGCTTTGATTTTTTTTTTATTCAAAATCTCTTTTTTTTTTTTTTTCATTTATAGCTATACTAATAAAATCCATCTTTAAAACCAAATACTGGAAGAAGAATATTCCTAAATCACAACCGTACCTTTTGTAAGTGTTGAAATGTTATGATGTGGCGGTAAAAATGAAGATTAATGATAGAACTGAATTAGAACGTGAGAAAAAATGATTAGATCTGGGTTTGCTACAAGCTCGTGGATGTGTTGGACATGTTTTTTTTTTTTTTTTGGATTGAGATAATAAAGTATAAAGTAGCAGAAAAATGCACCATTATTGTCGTGTAAAACTGTAACACTGCAATCCAACATTACAGAAAGGCAACATCAATGTTCGATTCAGAGCGAAGTCAAAGCCCAAGCTCTGTCTTTGAATACTGCTAACACACTTTGCAAAACTTCATGCAATTCTCATTTTCCAACCTTGTGTTGTTCCTCAGATCTACCACACATTAATTAATTAATTAATTAGCTTGACGCTCTACTTCTACACAGATGTCCTTTATTTTCATTCCACCAAACTCTTGTAACTCAACAAAGAACATTTTTTATGAAAAAAGAGAGATGCCTATAAAAATGTTGCGACTAAAGAATAAATAAGGTTCAATAAAACATGAACACTGGTTGACGTTCTCATATTGCCGTAGAGCCGCTCCTCTGTAGGGAGGTTTCCATGTTTCAGCCCGGATCATCACTGAAAGGCCAACTGTCTTTGCCCTTTCTTGCTCCTTGAGCTCAGTAACATGTGCTCGGATGAGAGAACGGGAAAAAGAAATCAAAGTTCATCCACCTCACGCCACATTCTCCCCGTTTTCATCCTGGTCTCTGTTTCTTGTCGCCTCCCAAAATCATCAGGTTTGATTTTTTTAATCCAACTCTCCATCAGTCTCTCCTTCAGGTTTGGAAATACAGATTAAGGGATTACTCACCATTCACCCCCAAGATTGGCTGTAGAGGATATCTCCTCCTCCTCCGTACAGAGGGAGTAGCTGGATGAGGATTACCTGTCTCACCCCCCCCCCCCCCCACCACCACTGCTCTTTCCTGGCCTACTCTCTAAATGGGCAAGTTGGGAGACAAGACAGTGCTGCTGGCTGAGCTGATGGAGATATCATCAGAGTCAGATGTGGTATTTGGGTTTAGGGAGGGGTCGGAACAAGGGTCAGGGGTCACAGAAGTGGGGGCCATTGGCAGGCCAGGGAGGCAGCTGAGAGGCTCCGCCTGGTGCGCGTTCGTCGTCGGTTCTGGATTCACAGTCTGGATCGTCTGCAAAGGCGGCAGCTTTACATCCGGGTGGCGTCCTCGTCTGAGAACCTGCCTCTCCTTATCAAGAGGGGTGGCCTGTAAGGAGGACACAACATGATCTTTAGGTCCTCGAGCAGCAAAGTGGCTAAAACAATATGGAGGACCAAAGAGATGTACACACAGTCTGAAGTTATAGATTGGTGTTTATATTGACAGTCACAGGACGACTTACAGAAATCAAATATATTTATTGTAATTTTTGTGATTTCACAGTTTGGTGTTACTCTTTTACGTGTGGCAACATCTGTTGAAGTGTTTGGCTTTCTTTGAGCTCAGCAGTCTCTATGTGACACACCACAGCATCTTTAGCCTATAGACATTGGTATTGATTTATTTCTGTCCATTATTTGAGTTCTGTTATCCGGAATTCAAATAATGATATTTGAGTTATTATATATGGTTGTTATTCAGCCATACATTTTAGAGTTGCACCGCTCGGGGTGGATGCATGTTGGAGTAGCTCTGTTACATTCATTCTGACATTTTGCTTTTGGAAACTTTAATTCCTATTTTTCTGGATGCAACTCACTCTTTTTGGATGATTACTTCCTTTGGTTTTGGATGTTGTGCATCTGGAAGGACTTTTACTGATTTTAAAAAACTTTTGAACATTTATTATGATGCGTAACCATAACAACAAGGTCCAACAATTTTCAGTCAGGTCATCTGGAATTTTTTTTTTTTTTCTGAAACGTTTCACCTTCCATCCAGAAGGCTTCATCAGTCAAGGAAACATGCAACACAAAACTGATTCTTCTCCCAAACAGCTTACTTCAAAGTGACCTGACTGAAAATTGTTGGATTGTATACCTGGATTATTGAGCATGGACTTTTCTAACAACAAGGTGTTTTTTACAACCAGGAGCAGCCGATTAACAACTCAAAAGCTCAAATAATATCTCAACTACAGCCCCAAATCTCAAATGAGTTGAAAAGGAGGCTCCGTGGATGCATTCACATCTACCTGTCGACAGTGATCCAGTGCTTGACCACTGAGATCCTAAGATCTCCTAAGGAGATCCTGGAACCGGCAAGAAATGCGGCTTGTGATAGCAGAAAGAGTGGGATCATCCCCCGGCACCTGCAGCCGGTTGTCCGTGGCGACGAGGAGCTTGGCAGGCTTCTGAAAGGAGTGGCCATTGCTCTGGGAGGAGTTATGCTCGGCATTCGGGTGGTCCTGCAGCGGGAACCAAGAGGCCAGCCGAGACTGGGATGACAGATTGGATGGCGTTTGTGGACAGTTTTTCGGATCCACTATGGGACGAACCTTTACAAGAGATCCTTTCTGTCTACAACCATCAGTATCTATAACATCTCTTGATGAAACGAGGATAATGAGTTACAACAACATTTAATTTCCCTTTGGGATTAATAAAGTATTATTGCATTGAATTGAATTGAATTGAATTGAATTGAATTGAATTAATTTGGTGAATTAATCTTCATTACGACTGCATTCATATTTTAAAAATGTTCTGTACATTGTAATCAAATAACTTTTATATAAATATACTGTGCTAGGGCAGCATGGTGGCACAGTTGTTAGAGCTGTTGTCTCTCAGCGAGAAGGTTGCTGGTTCAAATCCCAGCCGGGGTGCCTTTCTGGGTGGAGCTTACATGTTCTCTCTGTGCATGAATGGGTTTTCTCCAGATACTCCAGTTTCCTCCCACAGACCAAAAACATGCATGTTAGGCTGATTGGTAACTCTAAATTGTCCCTAGGTGTGAGTGAAAGAGTGAATGGTTGTTTGTCTCTGTGTGTCCCTGTGATGGACTGGAGACCTGTCCAGGGTGTCCCCCGCCTTTCGCACAGTGACTGCTGGATACCAGTGACCCCTGCGACCCAAAAAGGAAGAAGCAGGTAAAAGATAATGGATGGAGACTGTGCTGTTTTAGTCATTTGTCCATGGTATGCCAAAATGTTTGTCTCAGTTCGTCATTGTATGCTTTGATTTTTAACACTTGTAACTTTTTTCCTTTTTTTAAATTTGCTTAATTTACAAAACATTTTCCGCACAGAAATACATATGGATCTCACCAATTTCTTCAAAAATACTGTTCAAAATAACTTAAATTCTTCTTCAGCATACTTCTTCTATCATTGCCTTCTTATGCTTATTTTAGATTTTTGCTATTGGTTTGATATTTTTTATACAGTTTTTGTTCATTTTAGATTTTAGCAACAGTTCTGCTTGCTTTAGTTTCTGTTATGCTTGTTTGATTCAACGATTCAGTTAAAAATCTGTTCTTCAACAGAGTTCATCCAGCATTGCACTGCATTTTGAGCAGAAAATTCAAGTTTAATGGTTCCCTGTCATCTTCTTTGTTGTGATGTGCTTTTTCTAACTGTGAATCTCAAGGTCCTCCATATGTAAGCAGGAAAAATCTCACAACAGAATTTGCGTACCGGTAACTAAAGCCGAATGATTTGATTTCTCAACGAGCATCTCAGCTGGCAGCAACACAGCAAGCACAATAGCAAACAAACAAAAACTAAAAGACACAAGCAAGGATAAAAAAAAAAACGTTCCTTTCCAAAAGCAATATGCAAAAATAAATTGTGCAAACAAAGATTCACCAAGGGATTGGAACACCCATTTTTGACTTCTTTGTCAAAAATGTAGCCCTCTATAACGTAAGATAATTTATACAGTTCCAGGAGACACTGATAAACAGCAACACCACAAAAGACGAGGCTGGAACTGAAGACGACAATAATGCAGGAATAAAATCGGCTATTGTAACGAGTAAATGAAGCAAGGGAAGCAGCAATAAGCCAAATGATGCTGTGAAAACAGCACACAAGCAGCATCCATTTGGGTGGCCCTCAAGGATGGAATGGAAGGAGTTATCAATTTGTCTTTATTTCTACGTGGTTTGGGACTTTGTCACGTCTCTATGGAAACCTGGCGTACCTTATCCAGTACATGGCCGGGTGCTGGTAGAAATCCAACGACCCAGATCTCTGCATAGAAAAGCTGTCATCCAGCTGAACAGAGGAAAAAAACCAACACAATAAATCCAAACACTAGGTCATGTAGAAACACAAACTTCACCCAGAGAGCTGCATCTCATGGAAGGAGTTAACTGATACGACAGAAACTATGAACCTTTGTGACAACCATCTGTCAAAGTAGTTGATTTATAAGAACTGTAGTTTGTAGTGGTACTTACAGAAATGACAGACACTCCGGCAGTGGTGTCATTAACTTTTGGACCGGTGTTAAAGTGCTTCTTTATCTTTCCTGCTACTAACAGCTGGTGCTCGTTCTCACATAGACCTTCATTCTGCAGCAAGAAAAAGAGAAGAACATTTATGGGTTTCTGGGGTGAATAAATACTGCAGCTGAATACATAAATCAAAGCCGTTGTACTTACAGTGACCCAAGGGTGCTCCAACACCTGGAGGGCGGTGCATCGCTGATCCACCTCCACCTCCAGCATGGATCGGATCAGATCCTGCGACGACAAGCAGCAAGGGATGAGTTTGTCACGACTGAAAGTGCATGAATCAGTTCAAATCTGACCAAGAGAATATCTACCTTGGCTGCCTCTGACACGTTGTCCCAGTAGGGAAGAGGAAATTCTAGCTGTCCCATGAGAATCTGATCGAAAAGTGCTTCTTGGTCATCGCTGCTCCTGCAAATGTTTCCATATAAAGTACATTAATGAATTAATAAAGTAATAAATTAATATTTATATCTATTGACAACCTTAATAGGGACTCTTGTACAATTTAAATGATAATTTTGTGTTCCAGTGTGAGAAACGGCGACCTCTGGTGGTAAATTATTTTAACTGCAACCAAAGAAGTCCACCCAGACTATAGTCAAGGTTTCCCAGAGTTGCATCATGACATTTTTGCTCATCATTATAAAGAGAACGTGACAGCCTTTCTGCCAATTAGTGTTACTCCCTGCAGTGTCAGATCAAAAGAGTGCTAACAGAGCTTCTTTTAACTTACCCTCGAAAAGGCGGGAAACCACACAGTAGGATGTAGGTGATGACTCCAGCTGCCCAGATGTCAACTTTAAGGCCATACCTACACCATAATAAATAACTCAGTTCAAGGAAAGAGAGGGGAAACGCTGCAAACTTACAGATAAGATACAAAGGACTTTTTTCCTGTTTAGCTAAATGAAACAAAACCTGACTGCTGCAGTATTCTTACCCTGTTTCTGCAATGATTTCAGGTGCTACATATGTTGGGGTCCCACAGACAGTGTAGAGGGGTCCGTCCACAACAGTTGCCAAACCAAAGTCTCCCAGCTTGAGGCTTTTGGAACCGTCTGCATGTTCATACACCTAAAAGTGAAGAAAATCCACATCACAATCTGTCAAACTCGTGATTTTATGTGGCTGTAGCGAGATTTTCAGAATTCAGACCTTAAATGTTTCACTTCCTACTTTATTACTAGCCACAACATCTTATAGATGCAGCTTTACCATTGAATACTTAATTTGTTACAACAAAAATTACAATTTTAATTTAAATTGAGTCTTTTTAAGGTTTCAATACCAAATGTCAGATGTTGCTTTAAAATTATGCACCTAGTTTTTATCATTTTATTTCCAAACAGCTCTGCCCCCTCTTATCTTGCTGATCTGCTGCTGCAGCCATATGCCCCAGAGTGCTCTCTGAGGTCTTAAGCTCAGAGCTGACAGGGCCTTCTCTGTTGCAGGTCCAAGACTGTGGAATGACTTACCACTGCACGTCAGGCAGGATCCCTCTCTCACTGTTTTTAAGGCTCACTTAAAAAAACACTTTTATTCCCTGGCTTTTGACACTTTGTGATTTTGTTTGTAACCTGTCCTGTATTCAGCAATGATAGCCTTTTAGTTTTTATATTTGTACATTCGGATTACTGTCTTTGTTGCTGTGTGCTTTGCTTGTTTTGTTTTTGCTGTACTGCACTTTGGTTGGCCTTGTTGCTGTTTTAAGTGCTTTATAAATAAAGTGGTATGGTACCGCATATATGGCATGGCATGGCATGGCATGTTATGGGATAATATGGTATGGCATGGTATGGTATGTATGTATGTATGTATGGTATGGTATGGTATGGAATGGGATGGGATGGGATGGGATGATATGGTATGGCATGGTATGGTATGTATAGTATGGTATAGGATGGTATGATATGGTATGGTATGGTATGATATGGTATGGTATGCATGGTATGGCATGGCATGGCATGGTATGGTATGCATGATATGGTATGGCATGGTATGGTATGGCATGGCATGGCATGGCATGGCATGGTATGGTTTGGTATGGTATGACATGGCATGGTATGGTATGGTATGCATGATATGGTATGGCATGGTATGGTATGGTATGGTATGGTATGGCATTTCATTTGGTATGCGATTATCATGTACCATTACATCAAAACAATGTTAAATAACTCATCTGCAAACCAAGAAAGACGTGAAAGCAAAATAAAGAAAATAACCTAGTTTTATATTAGGTGTGTGGCATTTAAGGTGGCCTTGAAATAGACTGTTTTTTAAAAGTGTGAATCTGACCCGAGCTTCGATTGGCACACGAAGAACAACACTTGGAGTATGGAGATGACAATTAAGATTTCAACAGAAGGGAGACGGAGCGAATGAGGGAGTGTGCAGGAGGTGTGAAGGCAGCACGGATGAGTCATTTCTTTCTGCGAGAGCCAAGAGTCAGTGATATGACTTCATCGTTCATTCAGAAAGGCGACAGGAAACAAGAGTATGGGGAAGGGGGGGGGGGGGGGAGACACACTGCGACAAAGTTATATGAGCTTGTGCGTGCACAGTGTGAACTCACCAGTAGGTTTTCAGGTTTGATGTCTCTGTGGACAATGTTGAGGCTGTGGAGGTATTTAATGGCGTTGGCCAGATTGTAGAGCATGCCACTGGCGTCTCGCTCCGTGTATCTGTTGGCCGAGGTGATGGCGTCGAACAGATCTCCGCCCTGAGAGGAAGTCAGGATAATTACTTGAGTTAAAAGTTTAATTTGAGTTATTGGGAGCGTAATGCTGAGAAACAGTCCAGGCAAAGAGTTTTCAAGGTTGAAAAGCAGTGCAGGATTGTCTCCCCTGCCTGTTCAGCAGGATGAATGTTCTCCTCCCTCAGCTTGGTTGAAATTTCTCTCTGTGTCTTTAATAGTTTATTTTGGTAATAATGTCTTATTTCTTTCCTCTTTTCTTTGTCTAAGTTCATAATATTTTTCACTTGTTCTGAGTCTCTTTTCTTTCGTCCTCTAAGTGGAGCAGAGGATTTCAGAGGGCTGAGTTTTTCCCTCTCTTCCAGCACAGATATAGAGCTTCCACAGACACAGCTGTTTTAATACGAGAACTACCAAATGCACCATTCAGCCTCTGTCCAGAATATCTGCCATTTTACATGTGTTTATACTGTAGATACACCAATCCATCTACCGTATTTATCAGACTATAAGTCGCACTTAAAATCCTTTAATTTTCCCAAAAATCGTCAGTGAGCCTTATAATCCGGTGCGTCTTATGTATTAATTCTGGTTGTGCTTACTGACCTCAAACCGATTTTATGATTTAATGTGGTACACGGCGCTCAAAAATCTGTCAAAATGAACTTGTTTCGCTTAATGCGCCTTATAATCCGGTGCGCCTTATAGTCCGAAAAATACGGTAACCAGGAATGTCTTCAGCAACCATTTATTTACACTCATTTATCAGCTGTTGTAAATATAAGCCTAAATATTTTTATACATTTCACTTTAAATGATCTAAAATCTAAATAGGTTTTGAATAAAAATAGACAAAAACAACCTATTTAAAATGTTAAAAAGCCAAATACTTTACTTTCTTATTAATTTCTTGACTAAAATGACCAAAACTTACATATTTATGAGTGACCCTCCTAAAATGACAGCTAATAGCAATATTGGCGTCAAGTGCCTTTAGTTTAGTGTTTAAAAGCGCTCAGAGTTATTTAATGAACAAGAATCCTCAAAAGATTTTGGTTGCAATTTGTCGTTGCAGAAAGGCGCTTTTTGAGAACACCAGAAAAATATTATTTTGTGTTCACTGGACTGAATAAAACTGTAAAAGATTACAAAATCATAGTGCTGAGACTCCAGATCAATCCACAGTTTGCAAAAATAAAAGATGTGTATTGTTAAAACACGTTTTCAACAAGTTAAGCCAAATGTAATTTTGCTTGTGTTTTCAGAAGTGAAAATGCAGATTATAAAACAGTGTTCACATGAACTGCTCTGAAACATTTCAAACTGGAGTCGTTTCAAGATGGCAGGAGTCCACTTTTGATTTGGCTCGGCTTGAACTAGTCGTTAGCACATCTATCTTGTGTTACCTAAACTGGATCTCCAAACTGAGGTCGTTCAAAAAGCAGTCCATAACAAGAACAGATCCCAGCGTTAAAGAATTTGAACTGAACTTGAATATCGTATAAATGCACCACCATCATACTGGCTAATCTTTTCTCGGTGTGTTTAACTTGGTACATTGAAACAGGACTATTTCCTTAAACTGCCATAAATCGTTGTCTAAGCATATAATTGACTGTTTATTAATGAGAGTTTGTAAGAGAGATCATATCTGTCCGGTTTTAGCTTCTCTGCATTGGCTCCCTGTCAAATTTGGAATATAATTCAAAATATTACTTCTAACATATAAAGCCCTCAACAACCTAGCTCCATCTTATATTTGAGATCTTATTGTTCCATATTTTCCCAATAGAGCACTTTGCTCTCAGAATGCAGTTTTACTTGTGGTTCCTAGAGTTTCCAAGAGCAGAATGGGAGGAAGATCTTTCAGTTATCGGGCTCCTCTCTTGTGGAACCAACTTCCAGTGTCTGTCCATGAGGCTGATACATTGTCCAGTTTTAAGATTTGGCTAAAGTCTTTCCTTTTTGATAAGTTAGGGTCAGCTTGGGCTTCCTGAGCTATCCCTTAATTATGCTGCTATAGGCTTAGACTGCTGGAGGACAAATTGACCACATCTCCTCACTCTGCTGCTGTCTTTACGTGCTCTAGTCTACCCGTTTTGTATTTGTAATTATTTCTATCCTTAACATCTGTTTATTTTTTGTATTTCCTCTTATAGAAAGTAAACCTGGACCTGTCATTCTGTGTTTGTCTGTTTCTCCTTCCTGTTCTCTCAAACCCAGCCACTCGAAGCAGATGGCCTCTCATCCTGAGCTGGAGGTTACTTCCTGTTAAAAGGAGTTTTTCCTTTCCACTGTTGCCTTTGTGCTTGCTCAGGATGGGAGACTGTGACAAAGTCGATTCAACACAATCTGCTGGCTTCCTTAGATACCGGTAGTTACTTTTTTTACTAATTGGCTTATTTTTATATGTATGAATGTTTCTGTTCAGTGTCCTGAGATGACTTCTGCTGTGACTTGGCGCTGTATAAATAAACTGAATCAAACTGTTTAGATCACAGCTAATTCAAAGCAAAGGGCTGACTCAAAAAAAAAAAAAAAAAATCAACATATTATGTAAACTGCATACTTTTACTTCAGCTTTATATTGTTTCCCCCCTCGTTTTCAGTTAAGACAGCAACTATTTCCCACCTCATTCAACCACAGCTCCCTCACCCCCAGTCCCCATCCTCCTACTTTGGACATGGTCACACATGCGTGCATCTCTCCCACAGACTGGCTCACTCCTATATTCTGTAGTACTCCACGGCACAACGCGAACAGATGGATCACATTCTTGGCTCCTGAATTATGCACAAGCATTTCTTGACTCAGAAAGCTAGAGCAAGAATAAAAAATGTGAACACACTTGCGCCCGAGAGGGGTGACACAGACCGATTCTCTCTGTCTCATTCTGCGTGACTTTATTTGTCTACACTGCCTGATTGTTCCTCGTCTGTCTCTATCATCTGTTCTGCTCCTCACAGATGCTCTCAAGTTTATTATAATGATTATATATGTAGGAGAACGTGTTATTGACATATAAAGACACACCTTGACCAATTCCATGACCAGGTACAGTTCATTGTAAGTGTCCAACTCCTCAATAAGTAAAACGATATTTGGATGTTTGACTCTCCGGAGGATGGCCACTTCGTTCTGGATCATGTGCTCCTTGAAAAAAAAAAAAACAAAGGAAATAATATAAATTTTATAGGCAAGTTAAACATTTATCAAAATAATATTTCTGCACTGCTGCAGGAAGGTGCAGGTGCTCTACTGAGGTCAGCAAAGTAAGATGTCTGCAGTTATTTCTTGTTTTTAAGCTTTGCCTGAAGCTTTTTTGAAGATGTCAGCCCAAATGTAAGGGGGTGGGGCATTATACTCTAACATGAGTACTATCTCATTCCCTGCCACACAAACTGAAGCAGTTATACATGTTTTGCCCGTATCTCTATAAGGGGGATAGCTGCATAATATAGATAACTATGTGACTTATCTGTCTAAATAAAGGTTGAATGAAAAGCCATTTTTACAGAAATAAAGCTAACATTTGATGTGGCAGTCACTAAAAATGATCCTCAGTACGTTGCAACATTTGATAATAATGACTATAACTAAGTCTGTTCTCAGCACAGGATAAGATAATAAGATTATTTAATTTCAGCTGTTTTGTTACAGGCTTGTTCTATTATTGTGTGAATGTTTATGAAGTGTTCACACCGTTGTGATCCATTTTTCTTCCCAATGTTTTATGGCCGCTTTCTCGTTCCACAATTTTTTGTGCTATTTCAACAAATCATATCAAAACGGTCAGCTTGTTCAGGAGAAGGGTGATATGACTTTTGGTATTGGTGCAACTTTAGCTTTTTGAAATATTTAGCCTTTTCTGCCACTTTTTGTCTCATAGGAAATGATTTGAGCTCATTTTACATCCTTCAAATCTTTAGATCTGTTTACAACCTTTTACTGCTCCTTTCACATTTTGTTCTGCTTCAGCTTCCTTATGCAAATTTAAACAGTTTTTCAGCTACTTTCAGCAAATTTCAGCTGTTCTTTCAGCTGTTTTGTTCTCCTTTTAGATGTTTTCTGCTAACAACAACATTTTTGTGCGTCTTCTACTTCTTTCTGCTAATTTCAGTTTATTATGCTCCTTTCAGCTTACCGGATTTCTGCAATTTTCAGCTTCTTCTTTTTTTCAGGGTGGGGGTGCAAATTTCTGCTTTTATCAGATAATTTCCACTTTTTGTGGCTCATTCTGCTTCTTTAAGCTTAATTAGGCACAATTGTGCTCTCTGGACTTCCTTCTTGTATTTTAAGCTTCTTCCTGCCTTTTCAGCTACTTTTCATCTATTTTTTTTTCTAATTCCATCTTTTTTACCTAATTTTCTCATTTTTGTGCTAATTTCTACTTAATTAAACCAAATTCAATAAATATGTGTTATTTCTGCTTTCTTCTGCTAACTTAAGCTTGTTCTTCCATGTCAGCATCATCTTCTTCTTCTTTCAGCTTTTCCCTCTTCAGGGATAGCTAATTTCAGCAGGTTTTCAGCAACTTCTTCAGCAATAAGCCTTTTCACTGCATTTTCACAGGAAATGCAATTTCCTAGTTACTTTTGTACTTGAGTTTCAACATTTTCTTACAGCAAGAATATACTTTAAAACAATGTTTTGCTGTAGGAGTTTCATTCTGTGCTTGTTTTCTTACTTTGCCTCTGCATTTGCCTTTGTTGATGATCTTCAGAGCGTACTCTCGTCCTGTGGAGAGCTCCACGCATTCCCGGACGACAGCAAAGTTCCCATCGCCCAGCATCCTCCCCACTTTGTAGCAGTCTGATATGCAGGCTGGCACGACTGGAACCTCATCCACGAGATTCTCAGCTGTGGGAAGAAGCATACGTTTTGAAAACTGGTTAGAGACTTGGAAGTATGAATCAGTTCAGGCTCAGGCGGTGCACGTCAAATCATTCTCTGACATTTTAATGTGATTGAATTAGACCATTTTCTGCAAGATGTCCTGACAACATTAATAGTTTTATAGATATTTTTCAGCAACAGAGCATAATAACTCAGTCACATGCTTTAGTTTCATTCACTGGCTGCTTTATAGTCACACTGAGGCTCCACAGAGTCCTCTGTAAATAACAATCAATCAGGCAAATGGAAAATTAAATGTGGAACCAACTGGCAAATCAAAATGCAAATGTATGAAATGGGAACTGCATGGGTTTAATATAATTTATGAATTAATTTGGAACATCTGAAATAGTTTTCTGGGCTCTGTGAATGAAAGCAAAGATGAAAATGTCAGATTAAATTAGACCTGCCTCTCTTCATTTGAAGGCATTAAAGATGTTTTTTTTTTTCCAGCTTAATATTTGTTTTCCAAGTTACAAGTAAGCAACCTTTCAAATTGTTCCTATCACATCATTGTTTCAAAGTGAGGTGGGGGAGGGGGAACTCCATAAGGTGATAAAACATTGTGTTCAGAACAGAACGTACAAATCAGAGCAGGGCGGAAACACAATAAAAAGATGCTACAAAGGTCACAAACATGAGTCAGACTTGGACGCCTCTGCCGACTAACAACAAAAGATTTTTGCAGCATCAGTTCTCCTCACCTTCAGGAATGACTCCATCATCACCTTCTTCCACGGGGCTGGCAACTTGAGAGGAAGACAAAGAGGTGGAAGAGCCCTGTGATCCCTACAATAAGAGATGGGATAAGGAGATTTATTTAACCCATTGCCTGATTTAAACTCCTAGGACTTGGCATCCACATATGTGGACATTATAGACATTAATAATGCATGTTATGCAAGAGTTCAGGTCTTAGGAGATTAAAACTATAATTAAACTGTGTCAAAACATCCAAAAGTCTACAACAAAGTCCATGCTCAATAATCCAGGTATAGAATCCAACATTTTTCAGTCAGGTCATCTGGACAGTTGACCTGACTGAAAATTGTTGGATCCAAAAGTCTACTTTTGTGTTTGTTTATCTGTCTGAAGGTTTGAAAAAGACCAACAGCAAACCCCAACTGTTCCTGCTGAACAGACACTTGAATCCAAATAATTTCCTCAGGTCACTCCGACTGCTTTTAATAGAAACTTGGGTTTTGGAGACACAAATAAAGGCACATTCCACCACTTAGACGTAAAAGAGAGCAGCTAAGGCAAGGCGTCTGCATTTATCTAAGACAAAACCTCATTCCGCCCTCCACCTCCTAACCTCCTGTCTGGTTGTCATGGAAGCAGCAGGGATGAGGAGCGAGGATCCGGGCAGGACTATAAATGAGAATCTTCTTGTGTTTCTGTTTTTTCCCCCTCTTCCTCTAACGCTGTTCCTCTCCTTGCTGGTCTTTATTATCTGGCTGCGTTATCTGTTCAAATCCTTCGCTTTTGTTTTGCACTCAGTCATATTTGTGTTTGTGTGTGTGTCCACCAGTGGAGATGAATTTCATCATCGTTCCCTTTGTGCCCAGCATAAATTGTTAAAAATCTTGTGTAAATCTCTGAGGTCCCTTAAACTGCTCAGCTTGGTGACGATCTGCAATCACATCTAAAGTACGTGACTGCTTTTTCTTTATTTTTCATTTTTTTGCAGGATCTTTTGAGAACATCTCTCATCTTTTTGGAGAAGCATTTAGAATGTGTTTGTTGAATACATGGATGCAAGCCATGTTAAGAAACCCAGCCAGCATTTGAACCAGTGGGAGGTGTGAAACAAGGTGAATTTTGGCAACAAAACACAAAGAAATTATTATATTTCTAAGGTAAGAGTTACCTAGAAAATATTGGCAATGCTTGAAATTTCAACACCAGCTTTGTTATTTGAAGCCCAATAATAATTTGACACTTAAATAGTTATAAAGGCTAAGAAAAATACCCATGTTTAGATGTGCAAACTATACAAGTAGTGTAAATGCCAAACTCAAAAGAAATGTTAAAGGGTTACCATAGTAACTACACACCCATGTCTCTCACTCCTTGATAGCAATCTTTTACAGCATTGGATGAAAAAAGACAAAAATGTTTAAGTTTTGACGTATAAATTAGTATAACAAGTAAAAAGCCTGTGGAAAAAACACATCTGATAGCAAAAGTTGGTGTGTAGTTTAATGTTGATTACTGTGTAAAAAGCTATATGAAAATCCTTAAACTGTGATAAGTAAAAATCATAACGCATATCAAAATGCCACTTTAGTCATGGAAAACTCAAATTTCCCCAATCTGATTAATTCGTGAACAATGATTTTAATGTGAAGTAAGCCCGAGCTGCAGAGCTCCAAATAAAGCAGGGTAATCTCACACATTTGGCCAAAATAACATTGATCTCTATAAAAGGTTTCTTTTCAGTTTTTTGCACCTTGGTGAGACATAAATTGTAATCTGAAGATCAAAGCAACAGTGTAGTAATAAAGGCGTTTCAATGCTTTTACATTGCAACCTTAATGATATGCTACTGTATTTTTCAGACTATAAAGCGCACCAGATTATAAGTGAATGAATGAACAGGTCTGTTTAAGGTGCACTGGATTATAAGGCGCATTAAGCAAAACAAAAACCGTCCGATAAGTCAAACTTTATTCAACCCATTCACAATAACCATATAAAATCAGTTTGAAGTCAGTAAGCACACCCAGAATTAATACATAGGGCTCACAGTCGATTTTTGAGAAAATTAAAGGATTTTAAGTGTGCCTTATAGTCCGAAAAATGTGGTACTTCTGAAAACACGACTATAAGCATCTGTTTTGATGTTAAATTGTTCCCTTGACATGTGGACAGCTTCTTGTCCTAACAGAGAGGAGACAAGACAATTTACTTGAATCCAAAATACTATTTCCAGAACTCATCTGTCCCATTTCCTCGCCTGAGTAGCTGTCAGTGGATTTACTCATCTCTGCTTCTTCTGTGACCTGAAAAGCACCTAGCTGAATGTAACTGTGAGTCAGAGTATGTCTGCTTTATGTAACGCTGTGTTTGGTTTGGGCACTTATCCCAGAACAAGAAAACCCACTTAAAGCCCGACGGGCCTCCTGTGTCTTATCTCCACGTTCTGCTCTTTTGATTCCCCGCTACGTGCACCTCTTCTGTGCCCTGATCGCACACCCGACCCTGTCCTCTCCTCACTGAACCCCTATCTCGCTCTTCCTGCCACAGAGGGAAACAAAATACTGTTGCTATGGAAACTGCTCACAGAGAGGAGAACAGCTTATGAAACTTCCAGTGAGGAGACAGAAGCCTATATATGGTCACTTCCTGTCTGCGGGCTGGGGGTGGAGCTCAACCTTCCATGAAAATGTTTGTCCTGTGTGAAGGACCAGGAGGCAGTTAGACGGATGGATGGACTGGATGAGACGGAAGAGGCGGGGAAACAGAAAGGAAGACGTTTGGGGTTTCGTCAGTTGGGTAATAATCTTGATTTGTCAAGATGAATCCAGCTTTATATGTTGCACATGACACATTATCCCTCTTGTTTTTGCTGAACCAAATTGTTAAAAAGCACAAAGCGCCTGTTAGGAGGCAGCGCTCCTCCAGTCTGCAGTGGAAACACTCGGCAGCTGAATACTGATCAGTGTAGAAACAGGAATTAAAGAGGATGTCTATGGCTGCCCTTACTTGGAAAAAAAAAAAAAAATAAATAAATATATATATATATATATATATATATATATATATATATATATATATATCTGAGGAGCAGATGGGTTCCTGCAAAGATGATCTATTCTGTAGTGGGGAAAGAAAAGTCTGCCAGCTGTAGAAGTGGAGATTAAAAATGCAGCGCACATATTTACATAACCAAGTTAAGGATTGTTCCAGCTTTGTCCTCCCTGTCGCTGTCTGGATCTGATTATCTGACACACCCTGAAGCCTTTTTTTGATTCTGCCCATGAAGCTTGAAACCTCGTTTTCTATATTTCATGTCACCTTCAACGTCGAAAAATAGTATTAGAAGCAGGACTGTTTGTTTCAGTGGAAAAATTCAATATGATTTAATAGACTCAGAGAAGTTTGTTTAGTCCCATCTGGATTTTCCGTGGTTTTAAGGCAAACAAAATATAAGAGACAATTTGTCCAGACTCTTATTTTCTTGTTTTGACAAACAGCAAACATCATTTGCTTGACTCATAGGAGGTTTCTTTTTTCTGGTATACCAGACAGACATAATGAAGGTTCAAAGATTGTGACTTGGATACTTCCTGCAACTTTTGCATTACACAAGTATTCAGGAGTAATTCTAACATATGTGCAATAAAAATTATGTCGATGTAAACAACATGAACCACTGTGGAAAAACTGAAGCTGATTTCAGACGGCAGCAATTCTTTTTGGTCTCAAAGCAGCCATCACCCAATGCTCTAATAGATATTTGAAAAAGGTAGGATATGTATTGTGTGAATATTTATGAAGCATTCACACGATTGATTGAGATCCATTTTTCTTCCCAATGTTTTTCAGCATTTTCTTGTTCCACAATTTTTGTGCTATTTCAACAAATCATATCAAAACGTTCAGCTCGTTCAGGAGAAGGGAGCTATGACTTTTGGTGTTGGTGCAGCTTTAGCTTTTTGAAATATTTAGCCTTTTCTGACATTTTTACTCATAGGAAACAAATAGAGCTCATTTTATATCCTTCATATCTTTAGATCTGTTTACAACCTTTCAATGCTCCTTTCACATTTTGTTCTGGTTCAGCTTCTTTCAGCTTCCTTGTGCAAATTTTAACTTTTTTCAGCTACTTTCAGCTACCGGTAATTTCAGCTTTTGTTTTTCTTTCTTTCTTTTTACTCAGCTCTTTTGTGCTCCTTTCAGATTGTTTCTACTAACAACATTTTTCTGCTTCTTTTAAATTGTTTCTGCTAATTTCAGCTTGTTATGTTCCTTTCAGCATATTTTTGCTAGTTTCTGCTTTTTTTTTGTTGCTATTTCAGCTACTGTTTAGCCGTTTCATGCTAATTTTAGCTTAATCAGCTAATTCCACTTTTTTTTTTTTTGCACTCATTTCCACTTTTTTCAGCCTAATTCAGCAAAAATGTGCTCTCCACTTCCTTCTGGTAATTTTAAGCTTCTTTCTGCATTTTTAGCTACTTTTCAGCAGTTTTTTTTTTATTTTCTAATTTCAGCTTTTTTCAAATAATTTCCACTTTTTCATTTTCATTCTGCTTTCATCTGCTAATTTAAGGTTGTTCTATACATTTTCAGATAACTTTTTTGTATTTTTTAGCTAATTTCAGCTGTTTTCAGATAAATGTAATTTTTTTGTGGTTATTTCTGCTACTTTCAGCCTTACAAACTTCTTTCTGCTAATTTCTTGCTAATTTTTCAGCTTGTTATGCTCATTTCAGCTTTTTTCTGCTAATTTCAGCATTCTGTGCTATTTCAGCTACAATTTAGCTGTTTTATGCCAATTTTAGCTTTTTCAGCTAATTCCACATTTTTAAAAACTCATTTCAACTTTTTCTGCTTCTTTCTGGTTGTTTAAGCTTTTTTTCTGCCTTTTGAGCTGTTTTTGTTGCTAATTTCAGCATTTTTAGCTAATTTCCTAATTTTTATGCTAATTTATTTAAACCTAATTCAGCAAATATGCATTCTCTCTGCTTTATTTTGCTAATTTAGGCATGTTCTTCCATTTCAGCTACAACACAGCAAGTTTTTAGCTAATTTCAGCTGTTTTTCTGAAAATTCTTCAACAATCAGCATTCACACTGCATTTTCACAGGGAATGTAATTTCTCAAGTTACTGAAGGTTTTTTCCCACAAAACTTCTCTTCAAAAGATCTCAACCATTACTTTAATCATAATGAAACAAATGAACGAGAAGAGTGAAAAGACAGAACACGAAATGAAAATGAAACAATGAATTTAATGACTTTAACAAATGGAAATGAAACATTCTGCAAAGAAAACAAAACAAACAAACAAAAAAATCAAATGAACCAAAATGAGCTGGCAGCCTCTCATGATCACATCAGGAAAATAATGGATTACTAAAGGTCATTGCATGAATTTGTCCAGAAAAACAGAGTGAACTTTAGATGCAGTGAAGATAATAACATGCACATATAATCTTTGCACATAATTTCAATAAATAAGTTTCTTATTGCTTTGCCATTACAGAAATCACAGCTTCTGGTGTTTTGGTGCAGCCAGTCTTTTTGGCAGTCAAAGAAACATATTTGGACAAACTGTCTGGTGACATCGACACAACAGGAAATGAGAAATATAATACAGACCAAAACAAACAAAATAACATTTACATGATGAAATGAGATACTTTTACAATAATACATCATTTCTTCTTCTTTCTTCACATTTTGTTCTTACACTCTCTCACACGCACAAATAAATAATTAATGAACAACTTAATGGAGAAAAAAAACCCGAGCAATAAGAATGAAAGATGGAGCATGCAATTCAATGGATTGTGGATATGACTGAACACAACAACACAAAGACTGTACAGACCTGACTGTATCACAGCTTCTATAACACAAATCAGTCTGTCATGGTCAGTTCTTCAAACTGATTTCCACAGTTTCCACAGAGATGTGACCTTGTGAGTTCATTTCAATCATCTAAATGTGACTCTTATTGTTCGGTGAGAATGAGCTTATTGTGTTGACGGGTTTAACAGGAAATACTACAGCTATGCCTGTATAGCAAACTGGGAAGCTTCTTGTGAGGCAAGTGCCTTTTAGAGGACTATAAAGAGGACGGGGGGGTTGGAGCGTGACTTTGTGAATGCAAACTACTGTTTCGAGCCAGTTTCATAGAAAATGGGTCACAGTGTGCGCAGAATGTGTAAATCTGACAGTCTGCGCTTCAACCTCCTGTCTGCCACCCGTGCACGAATGCTGAATAAATGCATAAAAGGTTTCTTCTTGAAGCCTGTGTGAAAATGCAAGCGATTCTCTGAGCAATTTCTTTAAAGGTGTGCGCTCCTTTATGTCACCGCAGCCATGCATGCGGAACAGGTAAAGTTAAAAGTCCCAATGTCTGCTTCTGTTGCCCCAGGAAATGGGTTGGAACAGCCCGAGCAATGAGAGGAACCTACTTCACTGAAGTATTGGACTGCAGCGTTCAGCAAAGTGAACGGTTTAAATGGAGCAATCACAGTGGGTTACTAAAACTACATGACTGCCTGTGACATAGATTTCATTTTTTTTTAAACTTTTTATAACCTTCAACTTATAAGTTTAACTTAATTTGGAAGATTTTAGTGATTCACAACACCTTGGGCTGGTTTGAGCTTCATATTAGAAGTTTAAATGAAGAAGTCATGATTAACGGTGTCAGTCCCTGTGTCTGCGTTTGTCTGTCTGTTGGCAAAATAGCTCATGAATGAGTGGATGTATTTTAATGAAACTCTTAGAAAGTAAACACTGAACCATCTACAACTGCAAAAGTTTTGAAGTCAACCTAATTGAAGACGGCCGCAGCTAAACGTAGCAAACACAAAACGATTATAACTCAGTTTTACACATATTGAACCAGAGTTTGGTGAGTGACGTCCACCTCACATGCTCTGAACACCATTATATCATATAATATTTTCATTTAAATCCATAGCATCCAATGTAGCAGGCATAATGAAGTCCTTCAAGGAATGCTAGTCCTTTAATTAAAGCCACGCCCTTCGGATATAAGAAATTACCCACTTGCCTAACAAAAAGATTGCTGTGTGCGTGTTTAAACCCTGAAACTATAATTATTCCTGCATAATTAGGACAGCGTTGGCAAAGAAGGACAGAGGACGTCCACGTAATTTATTGGACTTGGTAACAAGTTCTTAAAATGAGCTTGGAATTCCTCCACAAGGGAAATAAAGGGATATAATTTCACAGTTTCAAATAAATATGCTTTCATAATATGGGGAAGTGAGAGGACGGAAAGGGTGCTCCTCGTGAGCGAGTGAGAACAACTGGGAGATAAATTGTCTCGGGAGGGAGGGATGGAGGGAGGGAGGGGAAAGCAATTGCTACCAGGGAAGATAGAAGAAAATAAAGAAGTGGAGGAGAAAATTACATCGTAATGCAGCAGAATGGAGAGGAATGAGATGATGGGGCTGAGGGGCGTCCACTCCTCCTGCTAGACAAGCAGATGTCTCATAGAGGGGTCAGGGAGTGCAAAACTCAGAATAATC